CGCGGCGTCGTTGTTCAGCGATCGGAAGCTGCATGGCGGAGTGCTCGGTCTCGAACGCGGTGCGGTCGACTAGAGAGACCTTGTGGTGACTGATGTCGATGTGTTGTGCCCCAGCAGTGGTGTCCTCTCGAAGTCGCTGGGCAAGAGTGAGGTCTTGGTGCCAGACGGCCCTGGCGATACTGCGGAGTGTGAGTGCACGTGCCTCTGCTATGACTTGTGGGTCTTCATTTCGGCTCTCGAACGGCATGATCTCGGAGGCGGAGACGAATGTGATGGTGTCGCGAGCCTTGCGCGCCGCCATCTTCATTATGTGCTTCATTGTCCGCCAGTCTGAGATGGGGTCGGCTGAGAGGTCGGCCATCTCGACAAGGCGATTGTAGTAGAACTTGTAGTGCTTGGATTCGAAGAGGAAGACGGGGATGCCGCGCTCGCTGACTGGACGTGGCTGACGAGGTCGAAGCCGTAGATGTAGAATCGTGCGATCGCTGATGGGCTCCCCTTCTCGGTCGAGCGGTCGGCCATCGGCAACAAGAAGTGTCTCGATGTGCGGGATGTTGGACGCGTTGATCGAGACGGGGCATCTGTCGATGGTCGCCTCCGCCATGTTGGCCACGCATGGGTGCGTGGTGGCCTTCGCAGTGATCTCCATCATCTGTGGGAATATGTTTTTCCAACAGACAGGCTGGTAGTGGTAACGCTCGGCGGTGGAGTCCGCGGTGGAGTGGGGTGAAGCAGGCTCTTCGGCGGCGTCTGGGCGATATTGAAGTCACCAACCATGTAGTAATCGTGGTTGTCTGGGCGGAGGGCTGAGCGTTGAGCAGCTGCTTGCCGCGCAGCTTTGAAGCGCTGACGGTCAGATCCGCTGAGGTCGTAGTTTTGAATGTTGAAGATTGATGTATCATGCTGTCTTGTCCCGTCTTGAACGCGTAGGTCACCAATGCGACCAGGGACGATCGCGCGAAATGAACGTAGAGGCCGTTGATCAGGTGGCAGTTGGAGTTCAGCTCGATCAAAGGGGACCAGGAAGGCGATTCCGCCTGCGGTCTCCGAGGGATGGCCGTCAGTCACGAGCGCTGAGTGGAAGGCGATGTACTTGTGGTCGGAGCCCGCGGCCAGGAGGTCCATGTCGATGCTGTCGCCGTGCGTCTCTTGGATGGCGATGACCGCTCGTTGCCGCATGTAACGGAGCAACAGCTGTCGCTTGAGGGCCCGCCTTGATGCCGATCTGCCATTGAGCGCCTGTGCACTCCACGAGACCAAGTTGAGGCCGTCGACGTGTGGTTTCGTGAACCACGGCGACCATCGCATGCTAAAGCCACCGTGCTGCCTCCAGTGGGTTGGCGAATGCGGCGGCCAGCGCGGTAGCCAATGGCGCATGCTCGGTGATAAGGATGCCAGCGGGGGCAGCAGCGTCGGACCAGCGAACTTGGGTGGCTGCATCAGGAGTGGCGCCAGCTGTGACCTGGACGATGGGAGCGCCGTAGATGGACAGGGAGCCTCCAGTGCGGTGAACCCGAGTCTCGAGCGTGGGGAACTGGTCATTGATGAGCTTGTTGAGCTTTTTGAGTTGAACTTCTTGGCGGACCATGCGCGGCGACTTGTCCGCGGAGACGTAGAGGGCAGTAAGTCCAGAGTCCGGTTCCACCTGGAAGCGTCGCCATTCACGACCTTGTCGAAGTGCGCGATGTAGAGCTTGGGCTCGCGGGAGAGCAATCGAGTTGCCGCCAGAGAGTGAGCGAAATTCTCCGTGCAGGGCCCTCTGAGTTGATGCGGAGCGCATTGATGTCCACGTCGGCGGCTTCGAACCAGGAGGCGAGCGCAGTCTTGAGCGAGGCGACGGAGAATTCTGAGGCAGCCCCACACCAGAAGGTTGCAGCATTCGGTGGGCGGTCCCAGGCACCCAGGGCGTCCAAATCCATGGCTGGGTGGAGAGCTTCGGCATGACGAAGAGCTTGCTGCAGGGCGTCCACGCTGGCCTTGAGTTCGCCTTGGAGACGTTCAGCACAGTCAGCACGGCCTTTGAGTTCGGCAATATCCCTCTCGGCGGACTCCTGGCGGTTGCTGAGCTGTTCGGTGAGCTTCGTGATGTTGGCCAGGAACTCAGTTTGTGCAGCAGCTGCAACTTGCTTGGATGTGGTTTCGAAGGCGGCGGCGGCTTTGTCGACCTGGGTCTGGAGGAGATCGGTGAGCACCTTCCGCTGGTGTGCGGGGAGGTCGATCGCGGCAAGCTTCTGAGCTCCAGCGGCCCAGGGGTCGGCAGCAGCAGTGTCCTTGCCCATGCCCTTGTCGGAGGAGTCGGCCCAGGAGTCGGCGGAGCTGGCGACACCAGGCACACCCATCGCGAGGCTATCGGGCGCGGGACCAGTGCTGGTGGCGAGAGATATGTAAGCTGCGCCTCAGCAGCAAAGGATATGGAGATGCTCAACGCCGCGGGCACGGCGAAGGCGGAAAGCAGCGGTCCTAGCAGTCCCCGGACCAGGGGTCTCCGTGCTCTGCCACGGGGCACAAACATCTTGAGCCAAAATGGCTACGGAGGACGGGGGGGGATGAGGAGGAGGAGGAGGACCAGTGCAAATCCAAGGCGCATCAACGATGTTGCAATGAAGCGTCCATCAACGATGTTGCAATCAACCCCGTATCCAAGTTCACTCTTCACGTCCCTGTAATATATTTTACTGCTGGAAGTACCCCGTTGGAGGACAGCTGTCTGTCTGAGACTCCTCAGCCCTACCAAACACCTCTATCTAGACTTCAACGCCGCTGTTGCCATCGTTGGGTGGATTTGGAAGCCTCTCGAAATATCTCGTGTTCACCTCGGCTACTCTTTCTCCCTCCTCCGCCTCCTCCGGAAACGCACCATCCGACTCCAGCGGGGGCGTAATTGTAGACGGCGATATGCGTTTGTAGACGACGGTCCGCCGTCATTCGTCTTTCGCGCCCTTCCTTCTCCTCTCTTCTTACGGATAATGCTCAGCATCCCCGTCCCCTTAGGAATGCCCCCTCGCCCTCCTGATGCGACTCCTCCTCCTCCTCCTCCTCCTCCTCCTCCTACTCCTCCTCCTCCTCCTCCTCCTCCTCCTCCGCTTCCTCCTCCTCCTCCTTCTCCTCGTCCTCGTCCTCGTCCTCCTCCTCCTCCTTCTCCTCCTCTTCTTGGGGGATCTCTGTGACGCATATTGGTGTCTCGAGGATGTCCCCGTATCCGAATGCATATCACTGGAAACCTCTCTGGGAACATCGTGTCGGGTGTGGACACGTGGCCTCTTAGAAGCTTGTTGGGGTCTCTTGGGAGGCCTCTCGGCAGCCTTTTGGGAAGCATGTCGGGGGTCTCTGGGGGCCTCTAAGGGGCCTCCGGGAGCATCTGGGTAGCGCTTTGGAGGCTTCTTGGCGGCCGCTTGGGGGTCATCTGGAGGTGTGGTCGTTTCGGGGTTCCTCTCGAGGGTGTCTTGGGGGCGTCTGGGGCTCTCTTGAGGCGCCTGGTGGGCTGCCTTGGGGTGCTCTTCGGCTGTCTTGGGCGCTCCCGGGGGCGTCTTTGGTCCCTCGCGGGGCCTCTTGGGGGGCTCTTGCGGCACTCTTGGGCCGTCTTGAGCGCCTCTTCGGCAGTCCTGAAGCCCTCTTGGGCTGTCTTGGGGCCCTTTTGAACGCCCTCTTGTAGCGATCGGGGTGCCTCTTGGGCCGTCTTGGACACCGCGAAAATGAATGAAACGCACATGGTTAACATTATAGATTTTCCTCCGGGATTGGGGCAATGTTTGGCTCTGTGGTGCCCTCTTGGGGTGCTTTTGGGGCTCTCTTGAGGCGTCTCGGGGGCCTCTGATGCCGTCTTCGGTAAATCATGGGGGGTCTTGGGGGTCTCATGGCGTCGCTTCAAGCACGCCTGCGGCTAGCTTCACCCACCTTCAGGCTGAACTATCTGTCCTGAATGCCCAGAACGGCCCTGGCACCCCGGGGGCCGAATTCGGTTACGGGGGTGGGGGGGGAGGTTGGAAGAAGTGTGCGACCCCGGGCCCCGAGCCCCCGGACGCCGCTTGTATAGATGTATAGATAAATGCAAGCATACATACATACATACATACATACATACATACAGACAGACAGGCAGGCAGACAGACAGACAGACAGACAGACAAACAGACAGACATGCACATACATATACATATACATATACAAATGCAAATACACATACAATCATACATACCTGCATACATACACATACATACATACATACATACATACATACATACACACACACATACATACATACATACATACATACATGCATACATGCATACATGCATACATGCATGCATACATACATGCATACATGCATACATGCATACATGCATACATGCATACATACATACATGCATACATGCATACATGCATACATGCATACATGCATACATGCATACATGCATACATGCATACATGCATACATGCATACATGCATACATGCATACACACATACATACATACATACATACATACATGCATGCATGCATGCATGCATACATACATACATACATATATACATACATACATACATACATACATACATACATACTACATGCATATATAGATATACCGATATATACATATATACATACATACATGCATGCATACATGCATACATGCATACATACATACATAGTATCATCCTGTAGGTATAAAATCTAATCTACCCACGCGAATTTCCCACTCCATGGATTGCATCACGTAGCTCGCATCCCATGGACTGATCTCAGACAATGCACATCGAAAATGCCACATAGACGGACTGCACCACAGACGCTGGGAATCGAGTGCAGCAACCAGCAAGCGCTGTTTAGGCGCCCTTTTCGGGAACATATTCGGCAACGCGCGGCCCCAAAAGCATTCGGCTTTTTCGCCTAATCGTGACGGCCCTGGGGGCCCGAAAACGGACCCCTGGAGGCCCAAATCGCAAAAGGAATGCCGACACTACGGAAAATCGCAACGCCACAAGCCCGGGCTGGGGGCATCTGGGCCTGCGCATCCGCTGGCACAGGGACCTCCTCCAGCTCCGGCATGTGCGGAAGCAATTGCGGCTCCGCGGCCTCGCGACCGGAGGGGGGGCGCACAGAGTTACCTGGAAGAGGAGGATGAGAGAGGACGGGGGGGGATGCGGAGGAGGACCAGTGCAAATCCAAGGCGCATCAACGATGTTGCAATGAAGCGTCCGTCAACGATGTTGCAATCAACCAGCTATCCAAGTTCACTCTTCACGTCCCTGCAATGATATACTTGACTGCTGGAAGTACCCCGTTGGAGTACAGCTGTCTGTCTGAGACTCCTCAGCCCTACCAAAACACCTCTGTCTGGACTTCAACGCCGCTGTTGCCATCGTTAGGTGGATTTGGAAGCCTCTCGAAATATCTCGTGTTCACCTCGGCTACTCTTTCTCCCTCCTCCGCTTCCTCTGGAAATGCACCATCCTACGACTCCAGCGGGGGCGTAAATGTAGACGACGATATGCGTTTGTAGACGACGGTTCGCCATCATTCGTCTTTCGCGCCCTTCCTTCTCCTCTCTTCTTACGGATAATGCTCAGCATCCCCGTCCCATTAGGAATGCCCCCTCGCCCTCCTGATGCGACTCCTCCTCCTCCTCCTCCTCCTCCTCCTCATGTTACTCCTCCTACTCCTCCTCCTCTTCCTGCTCCTCCTTCTCCTCGTTCTCGTAATCCTCCTCCTCCTCCTCCTTCTTCTCCTCTTCTTTGGAGGATCTCTGTGACGCATATTGGTGTCTCGAGGGTGTCCCCGATATCCGGATGAATATCACCAGAAAACCTCTCTGGGAACATCGTGTCGGGTGTGGACACGTGGCCACTTAGAAGCTTGTTGGTGTCCCTTGGGGGGCCTCTCGGCAGTCCTTTTGGGAAGCATGTCGGGGGTCTCTGGGGGCCTCTAAGGGGCCTCCGGGAGCATCTGGGTAGCGCTTTGGAGGCTTCTTGGCGGCCGCTTGGGGGTCATCTGGAGGTGTGGTCGTTTCGGAGTTCCTTTCGAGGGTGTCTTGAGGGCGTCTGGGGCTCTCTTGAGGCGCCTGGTGGGCTGCCTTGGGGTGCTCTTCGGCTGTCTTGGGCGCTCCCATGGGCGTCTTTGGTCCCTCGCGGGGCCTCTTGGGCGGGTCTTGCGGCCCTATTGGGCCGTCTTGGGCGCCTCTTCGGCAGTCCTGAAGACCTCTTGGCACCCCAGGAGCCTTGGCACCCCAGGAGCCGAATTCGGTTACGGGGGTGGGGGGGGGGAGGTTGGAAGAAGTGCGCCACCCCGTGCCCTAGGCGCTCGGACGCCGCTTTTTTTTTTTTTTTTTTTTTTTTTTTTTTTTTTTTTTTTTTTTTTTTTTTTTTTTTTTTTTTTTTTTTTTTGTTATATATATATATATATATATATATATATATAGATGTATGTATGTATTCCTCTTATTATATGTTTACAAGCCCGGGCGGGGGGAAAACCCCTCACCTCCCCCCCAAAAAAACCGGACTCCCGGGATCTGGGGCTTTGGGACCTTCCAGAGGGGCCTCGAAGCGGCCCCCCGGGCCTCGCAGGGCGTTTTGCCAAGCCTTCCCAGCACACCTAGGGCGATCAGGGGGGTCTCTTTTTTCGGTTTCCCGACGCACGGCGGTCTTCTGGGCGTCCGAAGCCGCCTGGGAGGCTCCCAAATCGCCCCACAACCATCCGAAAGGGCTTCCAGGCAGTCCAAGAGAGCCCCAACGGCACAACACGGATCCAAGATGGCCCTCAGAGAGCCCCTTGGCGGCCCAAGATGGCCCCAAGACACCCTCCGAAGCATTCCAAATCGTGACCCGGTCGTTCAGGGAGACCGCGGTTGGAGGCAGGGTGGCCCGAGGAAGCCCCCAGAGGCCCCCAGAATACGCCCAGGAGGCCAGAAGGCCGTAAGAAAGCCTGAAACAACTTTTGTGAGGCCCCCAGAGGCTCTCCCAGGCGGAGCCTCCGCAAAAAAGAGCTGAGGATGGGGAGAATGCGCAAGGTATGGCGAAAATTAGGAAAAAGAAGCACGGAGGAAAGATGACGAATAACATTATCATAGCGGCGATGCCGGAAAAGGCAACAAAGAGTTATCGCTAAATTATCGGTTTGACCTTCATGCTATTCCGCCTGCATACCGAACTTCAAGGACCAAGGTGCATGGCGCGAAGCGCCACTGCAGTCTTGTATAATCTATATATACATATGTATGCATATGTATACATACATACATACATACATACATACATACATACATACATACATACATGCATGCATGCATGCATACATACATACATACATACATACATATATCCATCCATCCATCCATCCATCCATCCATCCATCCATCCATCCATCCTTCCATCCATCCATCCATCCATACAGACAGACAGACAGACAGACAGACAGACAGACAGACAGACAGACAGACAGACAGACAGACAGACATGCATGCATGCATGCACACATACATTCATATTATCATCCTGTATGTATAGACATATGCTTTACAGACGCGCATTTTCCACTCCATGGATTGCATCACGTAGCTCGCATACCATGGACCTCAGACAATGCACATCGAAAATGCCACATAAACGGACTGCACCACAGACGCTGAACATCGAGTGCAGCAACCGCTGTTTAGGCGTCGTTTTCGGGAACGTATTCGGCAACGCGCGGCCCCAAAAGCATTCGGCTTTTTCGCCCAAGCGCGTTTCTTGACGGCCCCGGGGGCCCGAAAACGGACCCCTGGAGGCCGAAATCGCAAGGGAATGCCGACACCACGGAAAATGTCAACGCCACAAGCCCAGGCTGGGGGCGTCTGGGCCTGCACATCCGCTGTCACAGGGACCTCCTCCAGCTCCGGCATGTGCGGAGGCAATTGCGGCTCCGCGGCCTCGCGACCGGAGGGGGGGCGCACAGAGTTACCTGGCCAGGGCAGGGCCGGAAGAGGAGGATGAGAGAGGACGGGGGGGGATGAGGAGGAGGACCAGTGCAAATCCAAAGCGCATCAACGATGTTGCAATAAAGCGTCCATCAACGATGTTGCAATCAACCAGCTATCCAAGTTCACTCTTCACGTCCCTGCAATAATATATATATATATATATATATATATATATACACTGCTGGAAGTACCCCGTTGGAGGACAGCTGTCTGTCTGAGACTCCTCAACCCTATCAGAACACCACTCTCTGGACTTCAACGCCGCTGTTGCCATCGTTGGGTGGATTTGGAAACCTCTCGAAATATCTCGTGTTCACCTCGGCTACTCTTTCTTCCTCCTCCGCTTCCTCTGGAAACGCACCATCCTACGACTCCCGCGGGGGCGTAAATGTAGACGACGATATGCGTTTGTAGACGACGGTTCGCCATCATTCGTCTTTCGCGCCCTTCCTTCTCCTCTCTTCTTACGGATCATGCTCAGCATCCCCGTCCCCTTAGGAATGCCCCCTCGCCCTCCTGATGCCACTCCTCCTCCTCCTCCTCCTCTTCCTCCTCCTTCTCCTGTTCCTTCTCCTCCTCCTCCTCCTCCTCCTCTTCCTGCTCCTCCTTCTCCTCATTCTCGTCATCCTCCTCCTCCTCCTTCTCCTCTTCTTTGGGGGATCTCTGTGACGCATATTGGTGTCTCGAGGGTGTCCCCGATATCCGGATGAATATCACCAGAAAACCTCTCTGGGAACATCGTGTCGGGTGTGGAGACGTGGCCACTTAGAAGCTTGTTGGGGTCTCTTGGGAGGCCTCTCGGCAGCCTTTTGGGAAGCATGTCGGGGGTCTCTGGGGGCCTCTAAGGGGCCTCCGGGAGCATCTGGGTAGCGCTTTGGAGGCTTCTTGGCGGCCGCTTGGGGGTCATCTGGAGGTGTGGTCGTTTCGGAGTTCCTTTCGAGGGTGTCTTGGGGGCGTCTGGGGCTCTCTTGAGGCGCCTGGTGGGCTGCCTTGGGGTGCTCTTCGGCTGTCTTGGGCGCTCCCATGGGCGTCTTTGGTCCCTCGCGGGTCCTCTTGGGGGGGTCTTGCGGCCCTCTTGGGCCGTCTTGGGCGCCTCTTCGGCAGTCCTGAAGACCTCTTGGGCTGTCTTGGGGCCCTTTTGAGCGCCCTCTTGTAGCGATCGGGGTGCCTCTTGGGCCGTCTTGGACACCGCGAAAATGAATGAAACGCAAATGGTTAACATTATATATATATATATACTAGAACCATCGCGCGCGCTTCGCGCGCGCTCAGGTTCTAGCCCAGGCCTGGGGGGCGCTGGACGATCTTGGACAACGCTATCAAGCACAGGCGCGCGACGGCATCTGAGGAGCTTCTGGGGTGTTCCGCATGCTTCGTCAACTGGCTGTTGGAGGCACCTCTTGGGTGCTTCTTGGGGGGGCGTCTGAGGGTCCCTTGGGGGCATCGGTTCTGCAATCTGAAGCCGTCATTGGCCGTCTTGGCTGCGTGGAAGCCCGACTTGAGGCCACCTGCGGCCAGATTGAGTTAATCCGGAAGCCTCCCGGGGGCCTCCTGGAAGCAGTTTTGACGCATCGAGGGCACTCTTGGGCTATCTTAAAGCCTCTTGGACGTCTCCTACGGGCCTTTTAGGCCCTCGGGAAGCTATTGGGGTCCTCGTCGGACCACTTGGGGGCCTCTTGCGGCCTCCTGTGGGCCTTGTGGGGGGACCGATCTGCTGTTGGGTCGCGTTCCCCTTCTTGGGCCTCTCTTGGGGCTCTTGGGGCCCTCTCGGGCCGTCTTGGGCGCCTCAAGCACCGTCTTGGGGCCCTCGCGGGCCGTCTTGGGGCCCTCTTGGAGTCCTCTTCCTCTATATGGGAGCGGTATTGGAAGCCTCTTGGGCCGTCTTGGAGCATCGGGATGCCAAAAGGCCGAAAAAATTAAAACCCGTCAAAGCCCAATCGTAAAACTATGAGTTGTGCCTCTTGGGGCCACCTTGGGAGATCTCTTGGAACCTCGTCGGCCCTCTTGGGAGCTTCTTGGGGGCCTCTTGGATCCGATTGGGGGCCTCTTGGGACTTCCCGAGAACCTCTCGGGGTAGAAAGCTCGGATTCTCGGTTCGTGTTTCCCTTCTTGGGCCTCTCTTGGGGCCGTCTTGGGGCCCTCTCGGGACGTCTTGGGCGCCTCAGGCGCCGCCTTGGGGCCCTCGTGGGCCGCGCAGGGCCCTCTTGGAAGCCTCTTCGGCTATCTTGGAGCTGTCTGGGAGGCCTCTTCCTCCTCCTCGTCCCCCTCCTCCTCCTCCTCCTCCCACTCCAACTCTCTCTCCTCCTGATCTTCCTCCTCCTCCTCCTCCTCCTCCTCCTGCAGCGTGTTCCAAAAGGCTCCCGCCGGAACATGCTGTGCACAAGTGCTGTCACTGCTCCCGCTCTTGTGGTTGGCCTGTCGGGGACGTCGTGAAGGCAATTTCGCAGCTTCTCGGTAGCCGTTTTGGGACCGTTGTGGGGCCTCCTCGGGGCTGTTTTGTAGCCTCTTTAGGCCTCGTTTGGGCCTCCTGGGTGCCTCTTGGGGGCCTCCTGGGGCCTCTTGGGGGCTCCTTGGGGCCTCCTGGGGCACTCTTCAAGCGGGAGGGTCGAATTTTGGAGTCGTGGTCCCCCTCTTGGGCGCATCTTGGGGCCGTCTTGGGGCTCTGTTGGGCTGTCTTGGGCGACTCTGGGGCCGTCTTGGGGCCCTCTTGGGCCGTCTTGGGGCGCCCTTGGGGGCCTATTGAGCCGTCTTGGAACGTCGGACAGCCGAAGAGGCTGGCAGGCCAAAATCGTTCGAAAACCTTCGTACAATTGACGATTTCGGCCTCTGGAAGCGCTCTGGAGAGGCGTCTTGAAGCGTCGTGGAGTGCCTTGGGGGGCCTCTCGGGCCGTCTTGGGCCTATCTTGGGCGTCCTGGAGCGGTCTTTCGGCGACTCGGGGCCCGCTTGGGCCATCTTGGGAGCCTCTGGAGGCCCTCCTGGACTATTTTGGACCTCCCCGGCCGCCCCGTCCTCCCATGGGGGGTCGGAGGCGGCGGCCTCAGAGGCCCAGGACGCGGAAACCCTGTAAAACCACACGGAAAATGAGCCCCGGTACCCCCATGGCGGCTCTTCGGCGCTCTTGGACCGTTGGAAGCTCGAAAACGCGAGAAGCCAAAAACATTGAAAAGACCATTGAACATATACGACTTTGGCCTCTTCGGGCCGTACCGTGATACCTATCAGACTTCTTGGGGTCTCTTGGAGGCCACCTGGAAGCCTCGAGAGCCGTCGGAAGGCTGACTTGGGCTGCTCGGGAGCGTCTTGGGCCATCCTTTCGCATTCTGGGGGCTCCTGGGGGGCGTCTTGGGCCCTCCTGGAGCGCTGTGGAGGCTGCCCGGAAAGGCTGGGGCAGCGGTGCCGGGAGCGTCCCCGAGATGTGGCCATATCTTTTCAGCGCGTTCCGGGAGCATCTGCCCGGAACGCGCTCGTGGCAGGGCGCCCACGTCCGAGGACGTTGGCATGGGAAACCGCAGCGCGTGATCATTCCAGCGCGTTGGGGCGAAGGCCGTCCGGAACGCGCTTGGGCAAGCGCTGGGTTTGGGGAAGGCGAGTGGAGACCGTTCAGGCAGTTTGGGATGCTCGGGGCAAGAGGCGGAAGCCATCCTCATAAGACATGCAGTCTTCTTGGAGCCGTCTTGCAGAAACCACAGAAACACTGAGGCCCTGCAGTCGTTCCTGGAGCCGTCTTGGAGCCCTCTTGGGTTGCCCTGGAGCCTGTTGGAGCCCTCTGCGGAATGGTCTTGGAGCCCGCGCCGAGGATCTGGAAAATGTCCGGGGGCATCGCGGCGGCCTTCGAGGCCCAGGACGCCGAAACCGCGTAAAGCACAGCGAAAATGAGCCCTGGTACTGGAGGGTCGGGCAGCTGTTTTCGGGCCCCTGGGCTAGAACCATCGCGCGCGCTTCGCGCGCGCTCAGGTTCTAGCCCAGGCCATGGGGGCGCTGGACGATCTTGGACAACGATATCAAGCTCAGGCGCGCGACGGCATCTGAGGAGCTTCTGGGGTGTTCCGCATGCTTCGTCAACCGGCTGATGGGGGCACCTCTTGGGTGCTTCTTGGGGGGGCGTCTGAGGGTCCCTTGGGGGCATCGGTTCTGCAATCTGAAGTTTTCATTGGCCGTCTTGGCTGCGTGGAAGCCCGACTTGAGGCCACCTGCGGCCAGATTGAGGCAATCCGGAAGCCTCCCGGGGGCCTCCTGGAAGCAGTTTTGACGCATCGAGGGCACTCTTGGGCTATTTTAAAGCCTCTTGGACGTCTCCTACGGGCCTTTTAGGCCCTCGGGAAGCTTTTGGGGTCCTCGTCGGACCACTTGGGGGCCTCTTGCGGCCTCCTGTGGGCCTTTTGGGGGGACCGCTCTGCTGTTGGGTCGCGTTCCCCTTCTTGGGCCTCTCTTGGGGCTCTTGGGGCCCTCTCGGGCCGTCTTGGGCGCCTCAAGCACCGTCTTGGGGCCCTCGCGGGCCGTCTTGGGGATTTCTTGGAGGCCTCTTCGTCTATATGGGAGCGGTATTGGAAGCCTCTTGGGCCGTCTTGGAGCATCGGGATGCCAAAAGGCAGAAAAAATTAAAACCCGTCAAAGCCCAATCGTAAAACTATGAATTGTGCCTCTTGGGGCCACCTTGGGAGATCTCTTGGGACCTCGTCGGCCCTCTTGGGAGCTTCTTGGGGGCCTCTTGGATCCGATTGGGGGCCTGTTGGGACTTCCCGAGAACCTCTCGGGGTAGAAAACTCGGATTCTCGGTTCGTGTTTCCCTTCTTGGGCCTCTCTTGGGGCCGTCTTGGGGGGGCCCTCTCGGGACGTCTTGGGCGCCTCAGGCACCGCCTTGGGGCCCTCGTGGGCCGCGCAGGGCCCTCTTGGAAGCCTCTTCGGCTATCTTGGAGCTGTCTGGGAGGCCTCTTCTTCCTCCTCGTCC